CAGTCACACTTGTAGTGATACCACTACCACAGGACCAGTTTCAGTCTGTGCTGGGGAAGGGGGGGCCTGGGGCTCCTTGCGACATGCACTGGGAGCTTCCAGAACTGCCAGGCTGGGAGAGGATGAGCAAGCAATGCCCCGAGGCAAGCCAGCGGAGCAGGGACAGCACTTGCAAGCTCATGTCGGGACCTGAGGTTACACTGGAGGTTCAGTGGCTGGACCTGAGGTTACACTGGAGGTTCAGTGGCTGGACACTCTTGCTCATAGGTGTCTGCAGGATCTCAGACTTTGACTGTCTCTGTGAAGGAAGAGATTCCAAACCCAAGCAGGCCACAGCAAGGATCTGACTTCTGGGAAGGGTGGCCTTGACTCTGATTTTCTCCAGATCTTGGGACCAAGCATCTCATTAACTCTCTCCAAATAGTACAGTCCCACAGTTCTGACAAGAGGCGGAGGTGGGGTAACTGGTTTAAAAGGGCTTCTGTGCTGGGGAGGACAGGCAAGGGTGATTCAACTCAATTCCTACCACAGATCCACTGCTGCAATTACCAACTCTAAATAATTATCGTGCTCTGTGACGGCCTCAGCAGAAAGAGGAGAAACAAAGAAAGTAGTCAGCAGTGAGCGTCTTTACTTCTCTACCTCAAAAGATAGCATTCTGCAACACTGATGTCCTCTGACCTGAGGAGGCCGGAGGACGCACACCCAGTCAACCTGGCCCGAGCCACATCACCCCACGGGCCTCCACCCTGCCGGGCACGCAGAAGCCTAGCTGTTCAGTGCCTTCCACACACACACACACACACACCAGTCCGCTTCCAGGGACAGTGCATTTTTTTGTTTCACTTTCCTATTTAATAACAAAGATTCAGTTGTTTCAAGTAGATGAAAGCACCCATACACATAGCCATGTTTTAATCTTTTTAAATTATACCAATAGAATTTATGTATGATCAACTTGCAAATAATTTATTAAATATTTTTGTTTCAACACCAGTACACGTATTTGTTGCCATTTTTAAGCTGGCATCCCCTTCTTTAGTACACGTATTTGTTGCCATTTTTAAGCTGGCACCCCCTTCTTTTCCTACTTTTCTGAGTGAGTTACTCTCATCATCAGAATCAGATACAGGGTATGTGTTGCCTCTCACCCGTGTATTGAAGGTGTCTAAAATACATCTTCTAAACATTCCAGAGAGCACCTCCAGCGATGGTGATCCACTAAGGACTGAGGAATGGTTCTGCAGAGTACTGCCCCTAACCTCCCAGCCAGCAGGCCTCCAGGGGGCAGACCCAGCAAAGATGGCGGGAAGTGGCCTTGCTGTCACAGAAGTCATGCCTGCCCTCTGTGCAGAAAGCTTATAAAGCACAAAAACACACAAGTGCTATGTCTAACAGCATCTCCCATCCCCACACAGAGTGCTAATAGCAACTGTGTACATTTTCTCTTATTTTCTCACTATAGTATCTACCTATCAGGTTTTTTTTAAAAAATAACATCAATTACATGCTCTTTCCTAATAATTTAGAATGCTTATGCCTGTAATATTTGTAGAAAATGTTCATCTAGCTTTTTTACCTTTTATTTTCTTATTTTTATTTTTAGTTGGTTGTAGGGCTTGAACTCAGGGCCTAGGCACTGTCCCTGAGCCTCTCTGTGCTCAAGGCTAGCACTGTACCACTTGAGCCACAGCACCACTTCTGGCTTTTTTGAGTAGTTTATTGGAGGTAAGAGTCTCACAGGGACTTTTCTATCAGGGCTAGCTTTGAACTGCAAACCTCAGATCTCAACCTCCTGAGTAAATAGGATTACAGGCATTAGCCACTGGCACCCAATTGTTTTTTACCTTTTAATGTTTGAGATTCAAATAAATGTGTCTATAAAAATCAAATTATCTGTAATTTTAGATAATTTGTATTCCTTTATACTTAGAAAATTTGTCCTGAAACTCAAAGATGAGATTGTCAAATAAATCTTTCCTAGTGGTAAAAATACATATTCCTTATCTTGAAGATATGAGAGATATATTCATTGAGGATCAACAGTGATCCCAGAATCAGAGACAGACACTGGAAGGCTTTGGCGATACTTCTTGAGACTGTTAAAATACACATGCATATGCACATCATGCACATGTACACATATGTGCAGTGCATACATGAGAACGCACACATGCACACATAAGTAAACCTACATCTTATGTTGTAGTGTCTGTTTTTACATGGACAGTAACTGATTTACTAAATCTATTATTGGGCATTTGGGCTGCTTCCAACTGTTCTTTTTTTTAAAAAAAAATGCTGTAATGAGTATCTACTGTACATAAATTTGGTGCTTATCGGATAATCATCTGGAGACAAATTCCTAAAAGTGAGATGTCCCAGCATTTTTGGAGCTTCTCACATGTATGAATGAAGAGCCCTTCAGAAGTCTGATTCCTTACAGCCACCCTCTGAGATGACACAGGAATTCTCACTTTCAGGCTCTGGGATTCCTGGCTAACACTCCATGTTACAAACTCTCTGAACTACATGCCAATGCCAATGGTCAATGAGCAATGCTTCCCTCACCCATCCCGCTCCCATGAATGATGAACGCTTCTGTTGTGAAATGCCTGCTCAGTACCTGACTGAGGAATGACGGGTGAAGTCAAGGCACATGAGGAGTACAGAAGGAAAAGGTCATGATTTAGCCCAAGATTCTGTAAATTCTGGTGTTCTCATACTGAAATAAATTTTAAATGAACCTAATAATGACAAAATTAAATTAGGGCAGGAGATGGAAATTACTGTGCACTCAGCACCATACAGGTTTGTCTTCATTTGTCTCACAGTCTCCACAGATACTCACCAAGGACAGATACTTCTCTTGAGCCAAGAGATCAGACTCTGATTACTCTCCACACCGGGGAAGAGGATTTAACTTAACTCTATGGAGGTAGTCCTTAACTGCTCAAGGCAGCACCTCCAGGGATCTTGAGCAAAGTTGTGAGGAAGGTACAGCCATCTTGTCACTCAAAAGAATAAGTATCTAGTTCAAGTCTAAACAGAAGGAGTCAGGCTGAACTCAAAACCCAAATCATCTCAGATTGTGCAACCAGTGGCCCATCTCACCAACCAGCTGGCTCAACTTGTACAGTCTGCTCTCCCTGGTCTGAGGTGCAAATGGAGGTTATCTACAAACCAAAGGTCAAAGACATATTGGCTTCACACAGCTGAAGAGCCTCCTAGGAAAGTCACAGAAGTGACGGGGAACTAAAACTATGGTGCTGATGTCTTAAAAGAGTTAAATGCAGGAGGGTGCCAGTTGCTCCCACCTGTAATCCTAGCTACTCAAAAGGCTGAGATCTGACTACAGAAGTTCAAAGCCTGCCCCACCAGGAAAGTCCATGAGACTTTTGCCCCCAATTAAACACCAAGATGCTGGAAATGAAGCTGTGGCTTAAGTGGCAGGGTGTTAGCCTTAAGTCCAAATGCTCATGGACACTGCCCAGGCCCAGAGTTCCCCAGGACTGCCATTAAAAAAAAAAACACCCTAAATGCAGTCATATATTTTGTGATCTCTAGATCTGCCTGGATTTACATCTAATGTAATAATTTACATTGTTGTTTTTTTAAAGGTTAGTATATTATATAACGTAAATCCAAAATAAAATACAACTAGCAGTGGATATTCTTCTGGCATAAAAAGTATTGTGGGAAGAACAAAGAATGAACAAATGCACAATGGTATTCACTAGAAACTATGCTGAAAATGAACTATGAAACTTGTAGGTGGGGACAGGAAGGAAAAACTGGGAGCGAGCAAGGGAAGGGGCGACATTGTGCAAAAAGAAATGTGCTCATTACCTGAGTTATGTAACATAACCCCTCTGTATATCACCTTTACAATAACAATAAAAACACGTTTTAAGTATTGTAGGCATTCAAGACCTCTGCCCTTCTCTTACCACATGTTTTTATCTTTTGAAGCACTGAAGACTGAACTCGGGCCCTCGAGCATTCTAGGCAAACGCTCGCCTCTTGACCCCTCAGGTGTTTTGCTTTTAGCTTGATAGTGTTCTCAAGCTGGCTTTGCCCAGGCTGCCCTTGAATGTCAGTCTTCCTACCTCTCTTCCTATTATGGGCATGTGCCACTACGGATGGTCTTAATATCAGTATGAAGGGGTCACCACTTAGCTGTTACATGGTGCCACTTTGTCTTACCAACTTTTGAAGTTGGAAGAGGATAACTCTGTCTTAAAAATCTAGCGATCTTTTAGATTTGGACTCATGACTCAGGAACCACCCTGAGAATGTTTGTTTGTATTTTCTACTACCAGTGTACAGCTTGCCAGTCCTCTAGCAATGGGCCCGCTGATCTCCATCCACCTCCACTGCAAACATCCAGGAGCTATCACCTGCAGACTTTCACTCCTCTCCACACCCTCAGTCACACACCAGGGCCAACTTTACTCAGGGCAAAAGTGTGCCAACACTCAGCTAGACACAGCTGGTACACGTCAGGAGCACCTCCGGTCCCCCAGTCAGCCTTGCTGTCTCTAACACAGGATGGTCTTCCTTCTCTTGCCAATCACTCATTCAGAACCTGGGCTCCAGATTCAATAGTGGCTCTGACACCACTTTGCTCTCTGTACTAGTGTCACATGTTTTAATTTCTCAGCATTCTAGAATGTTCTGGCATCAGTACCATAGCCCTGCACTAAAATAGCTAGCTACTCTTAACACAACTTATGTCCCTGTGATATATAGATGTGTTAATTTTTATAAGATACTCTGTAGCAGTCACATTCCGTTTTTGAAAACTTTTAAGTATAAAACACAAGTAGCTGACAACACTGGGAATGGCAGAGTGTAGCAGCTGACAGCTCTTCCCACCATCAAAATTAACAAATATATTAATTAAGTGGAAATAATCACAAGTTACCGGAATGCAGGGGTCACTTATTCCAGGAGAACTGGACTCGGGAAGAGCAGTGTTTGGTGGCGTTTTGACTCACCCCAGCCCCATCCGCTTCCTGTACGCCTCAGGAGCAGGAATCAGCCGCCAGCTGCAGGAGCACAGAGCTGGGTCCTCCACAGCGAAAACACCTGCCCTTGAAAAAGAAGAAGGATCTCAGCTGAGCAGAACTAGAAAAACAAGAGAAAACTAAACCCAAAACAAGCAGAAGGAATAAAATCGCCAACATACAGCAAAAATAAATGGGAGAACAGAAAACCAAGTCCAAAAGTTGGACTCGCTGACAACCTTTCCCTAAACTGTCAAAAAAAAAGACTCAGTGTTAGAATAATTTGAAAGAGAATATTATTATCAAAATTACAGACATAGAAAAGGACTATACGGAAACACAACAGAAAATTTTATATCAGCAAATTAGATAAACTAGATAAAATGAACAAATTCTTATAAACATGAATAGTGTATAGAAAATAACTCAAGGAAAAATCTCATTTAACCAAAAATAAGATATCGAGTTCATAACCAAAACAATTTCCAGCAAAGCACCTATGGCTCATGCCTGTAATCCTAACTACTCAGGAAAATGAGATCTAATATTCCTGGTTCAAAGCTAGCCCATGCAGGAAAGTCTTTGAAACTCTTATCTCCAATTAACCACTAGAAAACTGGAAGTGGAATTTGGCTTAAAACACAAAGTTGGTTGAACATTCAAAAAAAATATCTATCAGTGCACTGGACATGCCTTACGGAAAAATATCTATCAGTGCACTGGACATGCCTTACGGAAAAATATCTATCAGTGCACTGG